GAGCCCCGGGTTTCTCTGGATCCCATCCCTGAGCTAGCCTCAGCCAAACCAGTGTCAGTGCTAGGGAGGGAGGGACTAGGTGAAAGCAAGAGGATCAGCTGCTCTAGGCCCTCCCTGGGGTAGGTGGTTGGGACTGATCGGAAACTTAAGTGTTGGAGCCTAGGAAGCAGACCATCAGGAGTCAGGGCATGGTAGGAAACAGAGTTGGAGGGCCGAGGACCCCACTGTGGGCGAGAGAAAAGCAAGGAGAATCTCTAGTAGGTGTCAGTGGACAGACACCTGGAGCCTACACTCTGGTCTCTAGACTCCTGGTTGTGTCTGCCTCAGAAGATTTTACTGTTTTGATGCTCGTGAAAGGACTGTTTCCTTTTTAGAATTCCTGGAAGCTCTTATTTTACCTGTAGGCAGTTGTTTTATGGGTTCTTGAATCTCCAAGGGGTCTTGACTTGTAAAGGAAACAGTGTTCTGGGGAGAATCTCCCTTTCATTGGGTCTTGTGTTCAGTGCCTGCCTGGCCTGGGACCTGCTGAGCCTCAGGACAGGCATTTTGATGTGCCGGCATGGTTAGGGACAGCAGGGGTGAAAGGAAGCAGCGGACTCCTGGTGCTCACAGTCTGTGAGATGGGAAGTCCCTGTGACTGATGGGCCCTTTATCCCAAAGTAACCTGCACAGGACAAGGGAACTGACACAATTTATGTGCATGATGGATTTCTGGCGATTTCTTGCAAGGACTGATAGGAAATATGTATCCTTGAGATGTCAGTTTGGGAGAGATGGATTTTCACATTCTTACTGTCCCCGTGAAGCCTGAGTCACTGAGCCTGCATCTTCAGAGGCCTGTCTCTCCTCTGACCTGCGAAAGAGTATGCAGGACTATCAAAGCCGCAAGGGCCGTAAAGCCTGCGCAGATGAATCCCTTCAGCTAGAGGCCCAGGAGCCAGCCTGGGGAGAGGAAGGGGCTTCTCACAGCCACAGAGTGTGTTGGTGGCAGGTGGCCATTTGAACTCAGGTCTTTGTACAGAAATGTCTTTTGGAGCCACCCCTTTTTTGTGGCTTTTAAAATCTCATCTGGGTCATGAAATGGGCAGAGTACATGAGGACCCTTTGTAAATGATTGAGTTACATAAAAGGTTTTTTATTGCTAAGTAGGCTCAGGGTCCACTGCTCTTTCAATCCACAGAGGAACAGATTAACCTGAGGTAGTATCACTCTAAGGCTGGGAGCTGTCCCTTGTTAATATAAGAGTTACTACTTATAGGGTGCCAAGTAGGTACCAGGCACAATATTAGATGCTTCTTGAAGGCTTATGTTCTACACAACCAGCAAATGCTGAGGACTTACTCTGTGCCAGCCAGCATTCTAACCACTTGATGTATAATATCTTACATATTCCTTGTAATATCCTGAAAGATACATGTCATTTTAATCCCTGTTTTGCACAGGAGAAAACTGTGACACAGAAAGGGTAAAGAACTTGCCCAAGGTCATATGGAGTCTAGAGCCAGGATTCAAACCCAGGCCTCTGTCTCAGCATATGTGTGTTTTCCACTCCCTTTGCTAAATTCGTCATCGTCATACCCCAGCACTTAACACTCATGTAGTCATTGCTCACTTATGCACCATAGCCAATACTTATAATTGCTCTAGCATGGTCTCTGGCATGGGATTCATAGCGAATGTCCATTGCTTTAGATCCTAACTGGGCAGCTCAAGTTTGGCCTTGGCCTAGCCTCCAGTGTGCCCTGACTGTGCCCTCCTCAGGGTAACTTGGCTGTTGCTGCCATCTGTTTTTTCTTTTCAGTCTGAGCCTAAATTTTTTTCTCCTCTGGGTCCCAGAGAACTTTTGTGTTGGCTGCCTCTTCTGTACCTGTTAGGCTCATCTCTAAGGAGGCTGACTTCCTGTCTGTCCTCAATGAGCTGACTTCTCAGAGGAGAGTAGCTGTTACATTCATTTGGCACTTGGCAGAGTGAGCCTCAGGCTGCTGGCTGTAAAACAAGGGAGGTGCACCCTCTGGGAGTGAGATAGCCCTGACTTTCAACTGGGCTCTGACCTTTACTCACTGAGGGACCTAGAGCTAGTCAAGCTCCAAGCCTCAGTTGGCTCATCTGTAAAAATTGGTTTAATGATAGTCCTATTGCGTGGGCTGAGTAAGGTCATGGAAATGAGCCTATATATCTGGCTGACAAGGGATGACAATAAATGGTAGCAGTTCTTAGTCTTGGCAGTGGCCCCTCCAACTTTAACCTTCTGTGAATTTGCACACTATTCCTGTGTTCCCCAGAAGACAGAAATCCCCTTCAAGGACCAGAACCATGTCTTAGGCTTCCTTAAAGCCCCTGGACCTAGCTTGGTGCTCTGAATCCAGAGGCGTCTCAGAAGAGTCAGCTACTCTTTCAGCAACCTGCCGTCACACCGTGAAGGCCTGCTGGAGCCAGGCCATGTGCTAGATGCCCTGGATTTCCAGGTGACTAGGATACCATGCTCTTTCACTTCTCTTGAGCTCACAGTTGATGGAGACACAGCCAGAAGAGCAAGTAAAAGCAGTAGTATGATAGGTAACATGTCTGAAGGGCCCACCACAGGTCCTACTGGTCCCAGCCTCTTCCTGTTGGAGGAGAGATTGCTGGGGGAGCCAGCAGTCACTAAGTGCGAAGGAAGGGGGCTCCAGCAACAGGAGCAAGGGCTCTGACAACGGATGCTTCATGCTCACCACCCTCCAGGAGAAAATGGCTAGGATGAGCCTGTGGAGGAGGCTTGGACAGGGGCAAAGTATGTCTTTCCTGTGCTGGATAAAGGAAATGTTATGGTCTTCCCAGTTCCTGGCCACGCTAGACTTCCTGTCTGGAGCTGCAGAGGGTCTGCACTTTGGGGTTGTAATTCAGGCTGAAGTGTAGATGGGAGAAGTGAGGAAGGAGGATTGAATGCCACGTATGAGAAGCATTTCCACCTGCTGACTGAGGTGGGAAGCCTGCACCGATGGGCCCCTGGCTGTGGTCCTCCAGTCCTGACCTGGTGTCCACGTTCCTGCCAGGACCAAAATTTAGGGCTGTGGCATCTTCTCTGGGGGAGACAGGAGCCTCAGCAAAGGGAGCTGGGATTTCAGGATGGGCCACTTCCTTTCTCCTTTCCCAGAAGGAGTGATCAGAGCACAGGCCTGGCCTTGGGGAACCACTGGCCTGGGCGGAGGTCTAAGGTCATCTCTAGAGTGAGGCTGAGGACAGAGGTATCTGGAGATTTTGGGGGCTGTGTCTTAGGGGTGTGGAGGAGGAGGAGGAGGGACATAGCTAATGAGAAGCAGGTGGAAGGGCTGCTCATGTCCTAGTCAGGACAGGCTGGCTGGGATGGCCCAGTCAGTAGGAGGACCTGTCAGCTCACAGACGATCCCATGGAACAGGCTCCGGGATGCCCATTCATATTCATTATGTGTGAAGTGGGCGGTTGTAAAGTTAGCTTTCTCTTCATTTAGCTGTCACTGGACAGAAAAATATGAGCTGTGGGCAGATGCCCCTGGATGAGAGCCAGTAGCCAGTCTCTGGCCTCCCTGTGCCCTCCCCTAGCAGCCTCCCAGTGCACCACGGGTTCCCTCTTGGCCTCTGCCGGCCTCTCCCACTCTTGCTTTATTGATCTCTGACTCAAGTTTGCTTTTTCTCCTGTCTGTCTCTTCCCACTTCTGGTTTCTTTGGGTTTTTACGGATCCTTTCCTCTTCCCTCCCTCCATCTTTCTAAGCCTTCTTGAGAGAGAAAGAATCATGTTTTTGGCCCCCAGCACAACGCCAGGCTGAGTTGGTACTCTAAAATGTTTGTAGAAGAAACTACTTTCACATCTCTCTGACTTTGTGGGGAAGAAGGTCCAAAACTTTGCTATCACTCCTTGGATGAAGAGACTTCTTATACAGTGGTGTGAGCCCTGGAGTCAGAAAGTGGGCTTGAGCCCCAATTTCATTACTGCCTAGCCAGGTGAAGGAGATTCTGTTCATCAGTGGCAGGCAGAGATGTCTCTCCTTCCTACCCTGATTCTCCTCTTTCTGCTGGGTCCCCTCCTGGACACAGGGCTCACACCTGGACCTCAGAGCCAGCAACAGGATAGAGGAAAGAAATCACCAAAAGCCAGACCCTTGTATAGAGGGAAGGGGAAGGAAGGGAGGGAAGGCACAGACTCCTCTGGGGATACATGCGACTGTCTTGGCTGAGAAATCTGATCTGGTGGGGGACTCACCCCCTCCTCTGGAATCAGCTCAGCCCTGATGTGTCTTTGTGGGCTTGTGTTTCTCTGTGCCTGAAAGATGAGGCGTGGGGTGGGGGTGGCTGGGCTGCTGGCTGAGGCTGAATTCTTCTGAGCAATGTGGTTGTGTTTACTGGGAGGGTGGGAGGGCCAGACCTTTTTCCTGCCTTCCAGGCTTCGGAGATAAGGCAGAAAGTGGGGATGAAGGATAGAATGGGTAATACTCTGAAACCACAAGAAAGAGTTCTGGCTTTTGTCTCTACCCCACAGCTCAGACATGTTCCTGGGGCATCTGGAAGGAAGCCACCCCAATCCCACCACCCTGGGGTCCCAGCCCATGGGGAGCGCAGAACCTCAGTGGGCACCCTGTTCTTCCATTCTACCTCCCATCCACTGTCAGCTTAGCCAGTTATTTCAGCATTTTTGCTGCCCTTCCCACCCTCAGTTTTCCCTGCCATTTGAGCCCAGCCCTAGAGCTGAGCTTTTCTCCCTTGAGGGCTCTGCGGCAGGACCACCTTCCCCTTCCTTACTGGCCCCTCAGTGGTCCTGGCCCAGCCTGCATCCTGGACACAGATCAGCCTCAAAGCAACCAAGTACCAAGCTCTGGGGGTAGACAGTCACCTGGTATAAAAACAGCACCACCACCTCTATTAGAATTCTGGGCAGCAATTTTTTTTCCTTCCTTCCTTCCTTTCCTTCCTTCCTTCCTTCCTTCCTTCCTCCCTCCCCCCTTCTTTCTTTCAACTGTCTTTACAAAAATGGGAATCAGGATCTTAGTGTGTGGAACTCTGTTTTATTCTGCCCAACATCCAATATGGTTTCCATGGCATAGCTCTGGGCTGGTCCCATGGAAGAGATTCCAAATATGTGGTGGTTTCCGGTGGAATTTCTGCCCCCCTTGCAGGGGAAGATGACTGCATCTGGGAGTGCAGGCACAGGGTGGGAGTGAGGGCGGCTGGAGCTGGGGAGCCAGGTGCCTTTTTTTTCTTTTTTTTTTGAGATGGAGTCTTGCTCTCTCACCAGGCTGGAGTGTAGTGGAGTGATCTCGGCTCACTGCAACCTCTACCTCCCAGGTTCAAGCAATTCTCCTGCCTCAGCCTCCCAAGTAGCTGGGATTACAGGTGTGGGCCACCACACCCAGCTAAGTTTTGCATTTTTAGTAGAGACGGGGGTTTTACCATGTTGGTCAGGCTGGTCTTGATTTCTTGACCTCATGATCTACCTGCCTCACCTTCCCAAAGTGCTGGGATTACAGGTGTGAGCCATTGCACTGGGCGCCAGCTGCCTTCTATGCTGACCTTGGCCTTCAGGCCCTCATTCGTGTCAGATGCCAGTGTACCCCTGCTGGAGGGGAGGGGAAGCAGGGCTGATTCCACCCCATCATCAGAGACCCCCTTTGTGGTTTCCCGTCTCATCATGAAGAGCTACCCCAGTCCACTTGGCACCCTTCTCCTCCCATTTTCCTGGGTTCCCTGAACGAGGAGCCAAGTAAGCTGTCTTAGCTGGAGAGATGACAATGGACTTGGACAAAGCTGGAGGAAGCAAGGCAGGGTCTCCCTGCCTCCTGCCCAGAGTTCGGGCGAGGGGGCTCAGTTTGTGGTAGGAAGAGTCCTACCTGCTTCGAAGCCCCTTCTCCTAGCCAGCCCCACTTTATTCTAAGAGAAAAGACCCTGTAACATGTTCCCTGCTGAGGGCTGACAGTGCCAGCTGCTCTCCCAGGCCTCCAGAACCATCTGGGGCTTGGAGACAGAGGTGCTTCCACCCTGATGTCCAGGCAGGGGTGGGCTGGGAGCGGCTGGGAATGGAAAAGGAAGTGGGCAGCTCAGTCTGCAGGTCCGTGTGACCAATCACGTGGTCCAGTTCAGAAGGCCGGGTGGCTCCTTGGGCTTTACCCTGAGCGAGATGAGACTTGGAGACTTGTAGTCGCCGTCTGAGGAGGACTCAAAGCTGTGGCCCCCAAGGGTCGGGGGAAAGCTGTGGATGGAGTAGATGCCAGGGTGAGCTGCAGAGGAGGCTGGTACCCCCATGAAGCCAGCCACACTCCCATGGGGGTGGGAATATGGAGACATGCATGGTGAGGGGATGCCCTCTGGAGACACAAGGCAGGGGCCCCCAGGGCTCCCAGATCCTGGACTGGCCCACAGGGAGTTCTGCAGCTGAAAAGAGAGGGGAAAGAAGGCCCATGAACCGGTAGCTTCAGCTGACTTCCTTACCCAGGGGCTTTCTCTGTCCTTGGGGCCCCAGAAACTTTCCAGGAAATCTGCACTTGGCTCAGGTCTACCCGTCTTGCCCCCAACACTGGCGGTGACATCTCAGGAGCCTCCTGCCACTGTTCTCAAAATGAGATTTTCTTCTTTGATTCCTTCGTGTTTTGGATTCGTCACTCATGAGCCAGGCAAGAGCCCCGATTTGCAGAGGAAGAAGTTAAGTGATGTGCTCACTGTCTCTTCAGGCCTGAGCTCATATTCTTTTTGGTGACCCTGCCAGGGCCTGACTCAGATAGGGCTGGGGTCTTACCTGAGGGTGGCTGTCAGCGTGGGGCAGCACCGAGATGTCATAGGCAGCCGTGAAGGGGTTCCGCCCCTCCTGGATCTTCCCATAACGCTCGCGCTTCCGCCACTTGGCTCTGCGGTTCTGGAACCAGACCTGGGGGCAGGTTGTGGAGTTTGAGGGGGTGATGGGGCAGCCCTGAGGAGAGGAGTCTGCTAGAGAGAGAGTTGATGGTTGTGTCCTCTTGTGGGATGGGCAGCTGGCTCCAGGATGGAGGATCTCGGCCATTAATCTGCACTGTTCTTGGGGCCAGGGAAGCCTGGGAGAGGCCCAATTCCCAAGCAGGTTAATTGGTCCCATGGGCCTCCAGCTCTCACTCCCTAGACGAGTCACGCTGGTTTTCCAGCCTGACTGTGTCTAGTAAGGGTGTTATGGTGGGGGGTCTGTGGGTCTCAGGGGCCCTAGGCACTTCTTGGGTATACTGTGCACATGTGTAGAATTTTTGGTCTCCCTGTCTCTTCTCCTTTTCCAAGCTACCCACCTCATAGCATCCAACAAATCTTAGACATTTCTGTTCAGTCAGGGTCCTGTTTAATCCCTCAGTGACTCCCTGGAGACCTTGGTCCAGGGCACAGATTCCTAATGAGGCTCCTGCCTCTCTGCAGAGCCTCATGTCCTGCCAGGCAAACACATTGGATTCTTCCTGGTTGCCTCCCAAGCTCCCGCCCAGCTCTCCTGAAACACTCTGCTATCTTGCTCCTTCCATCCTTTGCTTAGGTTTTCTCTTCCTGGGCTACTCATCCCCTCAACACATACCTCCACGCTGGGCATCCTCCACAGGACTGGCAAGACTCCCTGGATGTCTCTTTGTACTCACCCCATTCCATTACCATGATCTATTTTGGAATCTTTCTCCCACTTATTTGTGAGCCCTTGGCAGGTAGGGGTGGCACATCTGTGTGTTGTGCACATCTGTGTACATATCTGTGATGAATTCGTTTGGTGTATGTGCTGTGGCTGTTACATTTATGTGTATTGATATTTATGTTTTGTATTTCTATCATTTAATGAACATTTATGTGCTAGGCTCTAAGCTAAATTTAACAATGTCAAAACAAAACCAACCAAACAAAAACAACCCCTGCTTTCTAGGGATATCTAGCTGGGAGTCACAACAGAAGAAGCTGCGTGTGTGTCAGTAATCCATCTACCCCATCTGAGATGAGAAATCCCACCCCAGCCCCTCAGGCTCCCTGCCCCATGTACAGGTTCTTCCTATTCATGCAGGCAGGTAAGGCACCAACAGTGAAGGGGCTGTGTATACTTCATCCCCCTACCTCCCAGGTTGCCAAGATAACAGAGTAACAGAGCAGGCCTGTAGCAAGGTCAGGGAAAGGCCATCCTAACCTGCCCAGCTGCCTGGATTTCCTTTCTCTGCTCTCCCTCCCCTGTCAAAGGATAAAGGAGCCTGGAGCCAGCGAATCTGGCTATTTGGCATTCCCTTCTCTGTCATCACCCATTCTCCCCTGGGGATCCCACTGTAGGCCTCCCCTGGGCTCTGGACCTGCCCTCTGAGTTGCCTGGTGTCTCATTCTTCCTCTCCATGGGGCAGGGTGTATGGGTGTGTTTCACGCTCCTGCCAGAGAAGACATTCCTACTCTAGGGTCTCCATCCTTTGGGAAGCTTCTAGACTAGGGCTGGGGACCTCATGGCTACTCCTGCACCCTCTCAGGTTGAAAAGGCCTAGGGGAGGAGCAGAGGAAGTGCTCTCTACCTCCTGCAAACACTTCGGGAAGAGCTGGTTAGACCCCACCCTAGAGGCCTGCCGAGGTGACTCTATGGTCCTAATTCCCATGGCTTATATCGTCTGGGGTTACCTTGAATGCTGGGCCTCTTGCCCTGATGACCTCAGCCCTTAGGGAGCCTTGGGGGACAGTCCTGGAGGTCTGTTTTGGCTGCCACCTGGGAGGCAGGAGGACCCAGCAGATAAGGGGAAACAGCTCAAGCCTCTCTGAACCTATGTTGGATGCAGCTATAGGGCCTTCTCTATTGGTTGACAGCTGGCCTCTTTACAGACTGGCCTGCCAGTCCCTGTATCCTGCCAGGACTGTCTTCTGCCCTAGTGCCTTCACTAAGAGTCTCTGGAAGGGCCCCATGCAGGGTGGGAGAGCATGAGCTTTGTCCCTGCCAAGTCTCCTCCATGGTGAGAGAGAGAGACTCCTCTGCCTAGGGGGTCACCTCCTTGCCTTTCCCCAGAGCTCCAACCTACCCCTCCCAGTGCCTCCTGCTTGACATCCCTGCTATGATCCAGCCAGTTCAATGCAAACCAGTGAACGGCCATCTTCCACTTGGGCCAGACTTACTGAAACTCCTTCCCCATCCCCCGCCTGCTTGCCACCTTCATGTGCTTTGTCACTTCCAACATGCTTGGACATGGGCTTCCCTTCGCTTCCTTTCTTCTCAGCATTTACCCATCCACAGACTGGGCTTCCCCAATGTACAGCATTGGGGCCCTGGCCCTTCTGGGAAGCCCTGGTGCCTGATCTCCTCTGGGGAGTTTGTTAGGTGGGGGAAGGGCTCCCAGCCAGCCTTTCCCAGCCAGGGTCTGAGCGCTGGCGGGGACTGACAAATTTTAGTCACTGACCCTTAGACCTCTTGACAGGGACCCTTCCATTCTAGGCAACCACCTCAGGAGCAGCCCTGATGTGTGTTCAGCACTTTGCTGCTTCCATAACGTGGCCATCCCTGTGATCCTCAAGATAGTCCCCACACAGCCAGTCCCATCATTCCCTTTTCCTGAACTGGGAAACTGAGACAGAGATTCCATAACACACTCCAAATAACCTCCAGTAAGCGGCAGAGTTAGGGCCCCACACAGGTGACGGCTCCAGAGGCCATCGCCCTCATACTAGGCATCAGTCTCAATATGGGCCAGAAAAGCCTGTGGCTGCAGCAGAGCTGGGCATGAGGGTGAGCCCAGGAGGGGCAGGCCCCTGGAAAAGGTAGCTCTGGGAGGGACCAGCGCCCACCTCTTCCAGCCCTTCCAGGATCTGGTCACTGTGTGGGTGGTAGAGGCAGCTAGAGGCCCCCATCTCTGCAGTGCCCTCACCTGTACCCGGGCCTCGGTCAGGTCTGTGCGCAGAGCCAGCTGTTCCCGGGCGTACACATCAGGGTAGTGGGTTTTCTGGAAGACCTTCTCCAGCTCCTCCAGCTGGAACGTGCTGAAGGTCGTGCGGTTACGGCGCTTCTTGCTCTTGTTCTTGGCCAACTCCATGGAGTCAGGGTGTCCCGGGGAAAGAGGAAGACGCAGGCTGGCCAGGCAGGGGCCTGGGGAGGGTTGCAGATTAGAGGGCCCCTCTCTGGGACCCCCTCGGCAATCCAAGGGCAGCTGGGGGAAGCTGGCAGCTTTGGAGGCCTTCTCCTCAGCTGCAATGGAGAACACAAAAAGGAGGATGGCAACAGAACCAGGGGCTTTTGTGGATTGGAATGGAGGGAGGGGGAAGAACATTGACGCCTCAGTCTCCGCCTCCCCCTTCCTTTCCCTTCCCTTCCCTTCCTCCCAGCGGCCACCCTCCATGGGAGCCTGGCATTTAGAGGCCTGCCTGCTGAGCCTCCAGCTGGGGAGGGGGCCCTGGGGAACTATGAGCTCTGTGGTCTGGGCGGATCTGCTGGGGCCAGAGTGGGGTTCATTTCGGGGAAGTGCTCTGTAATGGTGCGTTCCACAGGGATGTGACAGGACTGGCGCCACAGCAGGACCACCACCCTGGCAAGGCCAAGAATGGGGGAAGAGGGTGGGGGTGAGGATGGGGTGGTTGACATCTCCCACCCCTGCCAGAAAGTGCTTCCTCGTTCCCAGGCCCTTATGCCCATGCCTCTGTTCCCAGGGCCAGGCAGGCAGTGGACGTGGGTGCTCAGACCATCTTTGGCTGGTCCGGCTGAGCTTTATTCTCTGAATCCCAGGTGTCAGGTCAATTTCAAGTTGCCCAGCTCTGGTGTATGAAGGGCAAGATGGGACAAAGAAGCTTCCAGAGTGATTGCTTCCCTCCATTCCTCCTAACATTGTGATGTTTGCAAGGACCTAAGCTCCAGCAATAGAGAAGCAGAGCTGACACTCTCAGAGAAGGAGAGTGGGGACTAGTGTCACAACAGGGCACAGCCCCCTGTCCCCCTCATTCCCATCACTGCCCCCACCCCCAGGAGTTTCTGACTGTTCCCCCATTGCCTATGTTTAACAGGCAGGGAGGGACTTGACTGCAGACTGGGAACAGTTTCCAGCAGCCCCACTCTGACGTGCTAACCCTCACTCCAGAAGCTTGGTGGAGCCTTACCACGGCAGATCAACGGTCAGAACGTGGTGAAAAATAGGTCACCCTGATTGCCCACACCCTCTCCCTCTGGCGAGGACCCCCAGCAGTGTCCCCATGAAATCCCTCCTCAGTAGTCCACTGGGATGGCCCATCAGACGCCACAAAGACGCCCCACTGAGTCACACACCCTCTTCCCTGGCTCTGGGCCCATCTCCAGTGGAGGCCTGGCTCTGAGGAGACCCAGCTAGCTGGCACAAGAGGCAGTTTCTTCCCAGGGCTTGGTGCTGAGATCACAGCTGTAGCTGGGGGAGGATAGGACTAGAGAAATGGGCCTCTCAGGATCAGGGTCTGATGAGTCCCTGGCTGCACTGTGAAGGACAAATCAGGCAGGGTCCCTTTCAGCTGGAAGGTGGTCAGTGACTTTCTAGGACTACCCAGACCACGAAATAAGCTCCGAGTGTGTGTCCTGGAGGACTGGGATGGTCAGGCAGGGCCCACCTAGCCTTGGACCATGCCCAGCCTGTACACAGGTAGCCCAGCACCAAGGTTCCTTCATAACTCAGGTGGAGCACAGGGAGAAGGTGTTCTAGTCCCTGACTTCCATTCTTGGCCAGCACATTTCGGGTTTAGGGGCAGTTGCATTTGATAGAAGCTTACGAAGGAAGACACAGAAGTTGAACCAAATAATTGAAAATGATCAGGAAGGCCAGGGACACTGAAAGGGGACCCCCCCCCAACACACACACAGCAGGCCACGGAAATGTTCAGCCTGAGAAGGAAGAGTCTCAGTGTCTTGGTTCGTAGGGCGGCTGTGCTGGACTCAGGCAGAAAAGGGGTGAGGGTAGCTCAGGGCTGAGGGGCAGGGCTGGGGTTCAAGACTACTGACACCCCAGCAGAGGCCCTCCAAAGCCCTGGGGCTTGCTCACCTGCTTCTTGGATTCTCAGTGTCTGTCTCAATAGGACCTGCCCAGGGGAAGTGACCAGATCTGGGGCCCTGGGACTTGCCTTCCTGACCTTGAGCCAAGCTGCCAGGGACAAGGGATGAAAGTGCAGTAGGACTTCTCAGAACACTTCCCCAAAGAGGCTAAGCCTGCCCAGTCTATAGTCCTCCCAAGGGATCACAGAACTGCTCTCCTCATTGTCATTGCCCTGAAACCTCCTTGATCTACCTGGAGGACACCAGAGGGAGGGCGGCATCCCCCCTCTTTGGGAGAGAAGGGCACTCTTCAGAGAACACAGAGCAGCCTCCTGAGGAGCAAGGCCCAGAAGAGGAAAGAGATAGAACTGGGATAAATGGACGGCAGAAGCCAGGAAAAACGGGCCAGGAATGGCACCTAGCAGTTTGAGCATAAGCTTGTAAAGAAGAGAGGGCTGCTCTGTTGAGGACAGGGCACACCTGAGGTGTGTATGGGCTGTGCAGGCGTCACTGCACCTGATCCAGACACTGGGTGGTTAAGGTGGTGTACGCCGGTTGGAGACAGCCGGAGACTCTGCGCTGGGGTGTCTTCCGCCTGTGAGCACCCCTCAGTCGGAGGCGTGCCAGAGCCCCTACCAGCGGCTGCTTCTAAGCTACTCTACAGCCAGGAAGCGGTACCGCTGCAGGCCCGAGGGCCCCCCTGCCCCAAAGAAGGCATCCATTGAGGCCGTAGAACCAGCCTCATCTTTCACCTTTCGCTGCAGCCTTGTTCCGCGCTGCACTGTTTCCTCTGGCCACTGTGGGGTCGCTAAGCGACCGGCAAAGCTCACTGAGGCTCAGGCTCCTGCAGCTCTTGCCGAAGACCCAAAGCCAGGGTGGACATAAATGCTGTGGGCAGGACCCCGGTGAGGCTTCGGTGCCCGTCTTGGAGGTTTCTCAGCCTTGGCCCAGAGGCCTCAGCCCAGGTCTAAGAACTTGGGACTCTCCTAGAAGTTGACGGTCTGCTGGGTCATCCGGCTCAGAGCCTCAGCGGCTGCTCGTTCCGCACCAGCGGGCAAAACCTAGTAGGAGTCGCTTGCCGAGAGCATGTTTCGACGTCAGAGCCAAACTCGGGGGCAGACTAGCCAAGCGCGGAGGGCGGGAGAGTGGCTGGCACTGCCAGCACGCAGCCTCGGTTCAGAGCAGGGCTGGGCGCTCTCAGCAAAGGGCAGTTCGGGGCGCGGGCGGCGGACGGCGGGCAGGAAAGGAGCGAGGTGCGCCAGGCTTTGGGGCGCGCAACTGCCCAGCCTACTGAAGGATCGCGCCGCAGATGGGGCGCAGCTGCGCGCTCACTGGTGTGGACTGAAAACGCTCCGAGCTGGTTATTTTAAAAGCCGGGAAATAAGGCGGGTTCCCTCTTCGCCCGCCGCTTCCCACAAAATAGGCTGCGTGACCCTGGGGGCTGATCTTCCCCAGCAGCCGGGCTCCACCGCGAGCCGTGGCGAGGTCCGCTTTGCCGCAGGGACGCTGACCGCCGTCCGTCGAGCACTGGCCAGAGCGCCTGGGAGGCGAGCAGCCGCCAGGTTCTCTCCCCGGCTCCGCTCGCACCCTCGTGCCTCCCTTTCGTTTGGCCCCGTCCTCTGCTCAACTGAAATCGTTAATTTTCTTACCCCTTTGTTCTCATCTTGATGTATTTCACTCTTGAAACATGTTCCTTTTTCTTTTGTCGGCTCCCTCCCCCTTTGTCCTTTCCCTCTTCTCTATTTGCAGGTTTTGTTCCATCTTGCTTCTGCTTTTTTTTTTCCCGTTCGTTCTTCATTTATTCCTTTCAGGTCATCCCAACTCGCCGACTGCCATTTATCTCTCGCTCTCGCCGCGCTCTCCGTTGTTTTGTTCAATTTCCCTTCCTCTTTTCTTGGTTGTTGTTCGCTTTCTTTGTTTTTTTTTCTCAGTATTTCGTTGTCAAGAACACCCTTGCCGTCGGATTCCAGGGTGCTAGGATCCTCCCGGCCGCTCCTTCCGCACCAGCGCTCTCGGCAGTTTGCGCGGCACCGGTGTGGTCCAGGCGCCCGAGCCATCGGTGCCAGATGCGGCGCGCCTCTCAGAGACGTGGGTCCAGTGGGGTGGCTCCTGCCCGACACGGAGTGCTGAGCCAGACCGGGTACCTGTCCATGGCGGTGCTCACCGCGCTGTGCGGCCGCTGCCGTCTGGCTGGGATCAGAGGAGCCTGGCCAACTGCTTCTCATTAAGTCCCAACTGTGGTTTTTATCAGGAGAGCCTCTTTCAAAGGGCACAGACACGAAGCTCCGCGGACTCGTTCATTTCCTCTGTTGACCCCCACACACCTCCCCGCCCTCGCCTACGCATTCCCACCGCCCCAGCTGGGCGAAAGCCGGAGTTGTAGGGCCACGACGTGGAGGCCCGCGAGGCGCCAGCCGGGCGGCCGCAGCGGGTTGAGGCGGCTCTCGGAGGATCCAGCTCTGGGCCTAGGCTGCAGGATGTGGCGGCGCAGATACCGTGGATGCGGTGCAGGCGCCGAGGTGCCTTACAGGTCAGCGGGTGCAGCTGACCTGCCGATCAGCCTGCCAGGCCGCTGCCTTCAGGCGCATTCTCGGATGCCCTTGCGGTCCGGCGGGCCTTAGCACAGGGCAGCGGCCCGCGAGCCCGCGGCGCCTGGGAGTTCGGCTGCCTAGGGCTGCTTCTGACTGCCCAGCACTGATGATCCAGCACGGGAAGCCAAGACTGCAGGAAGGGCGTCTATCATCGTGCATAACGGCATGGAAGCCAGCTTAGTCTGAGAAATAAGAATACAGTTATTCCGCCTTGAGGACAGCAGCGGCACTGCGTGACTCGTCGCGGCCAGATTATGCCAGTCTGCCGCACAGGCAGCGCCCTTCCTGTGGAGGCTAGGCCTGGGGAGCAGAGGCGGGCCAAGGCCAGGCCGCAGTCCCCAGCCGACCCGGATTTGGCCACTCTAGGTCGAGGCCCAGCCTCGGGGCCCTCAAAGGGCGCCAGACACAAAAGCCGCGCTTCTGCGTCAGGACTCAGTGTGGCTCTCCAGCCCTCGGTCGGGTCTGGGCTTCAGGGTCTGTGACAGTTCCAGTTCAGCTTCAGCAGGGATGATCTCTCCTTCCCAGGTCCGGCTGCTTCCGGGCCGGGCCCCGACTGGACCCCCGAGCCGTCGCCACTCCACTTTCCTCGACCTCCCGCCTCCCATTCCCGCCACCGAGGAACCGCGGTTCGCCCTCCCGCACCGCACCGGCCTTTGCCTGGCCTGGGCCAGCGCCGACCCGGCTTCCGTGGGAGCCGTGGCGAAAGGCTAGAGTGGCAAAAGTTAAGAAATAGGCAAGCGGGAAAGATAAGCAGGAAGGCCCGGGTGGGCCTAGGTAGGGAAGAAGGAGAGAGGGTCGGGCTGCGCGCTACGCCCGGCGCCACGCGTTACCTTCCGCGGGGCCCTCGTAGAAGTGGCCGCCGTTGAGCGCCAGGCCGGGCCCGAGGTCCTGCAGGTACTTGGCGGGCGGCTTGGCCGGCTCTGGGAGGTAGGGCTCCAGGGACCCGCAGCCCGGAAAGCGGGTCACCCCCGGGCCGCGGGGCGGCGCGGGGTGCAGGTGAGGTGCAGCGGCGGGGGTTCCCTGCGGGCCCGGAGGCTCGTCCCCCGAGGCAGCATACGGGCCGGGCGCAGGCCCCACGCGGAAGGGCGCGCAGTGCTCGGGGTCCATGCCGGCTCCGGGCGCAGAGGCCTCCGGGGCTCCGGGGCTCGCGCTGCCCGCGCGGCCTGTGAGCGCCAGCCAAGGGGGAGGGACCTGGGCGCGGGGGCGCGGAGCCCCCGGGAGCGGCGCGCGCCGCGGGGGGCTGGGGGCGGGGGGGTTGGGGCGGGGGCCGCGTTTCTGACTTAATGCTGGAACCATCCACGTCACGTGTAACCCCGAGCGGGTTAACCCCTCGGAGTCCGGGAACCCCCCTCCCCCCATTCACCCAGAGCCCAGTCCCAGGCAGCTCAGGAGATGATGAAGCAACCTCCTCTCTAGGGCGGGATCCCTTTGTCTGCCCATCCAGGTGAGTCCCTTGCTCAGAGCAGCACCCGTGATATCCAGCCTAGTGGCTCTTGCCCCTAGAGGGGTGAGGCAGTGTGGGCATCCCCCCAAACACTTTTAGGCCTGACTTTGGACATCAGCCTAGGATGAGGGCCCGGGTGGGCGGGCAGGCAGGCGGGCCTTAGGCTATAATTTTACCTAGGTCTCTGCTGGGAGCTGAGCAAAATGTTGCCTCAGGAAAAACCACCTTCCTTAGAGATCTCTTGTTTCTCTCAGAGAAAGGAGCTATTGGGATTGCTGTGTGGATGAGGATCTAAGCGAGGAATGGGGTACTGGGGAGCTTGGGCCTGGACACTATCATTAATTAGCTGTGGCTCCTTGAGCCAATCATTAGTGTCCTCATCTGACTGTGGAGGTCAGGGCAAGCCAACTCTGGGTCTTTGTATGTATTTGAGGTGTGTTTCAGAACTAGAGGCAGGGCCAGAGCAGACAGGGAGACTCCCACCCGCAGCTCGGGACCCAACAGTGTCCTGCAGAGGCAGCCTTTATAGAGCAGGTGGAGGATGAGCAGAAGGGCTGACGTTCCCTCGGGCAGCAGCTTGGAGTGAATGCCTTTCAGTGGGCAGATGATCCAAGTGTCTGGGGCTCCACTGGAGAGAGGCTGTCTGCAGCTCAGACCTCAGGGCTGTGCTCCCCCAGGCCTACCGATTTGGAGGGGGTGAGGGTAGAACTGCATCTTCTAAGAGTTGAGTCTCCCCAACCAAAAGGAAACCTAGGATTAGAACAGTAGCTTGGAGTTTCAGAAAAAAGAAAAAACCCCACCCTCCCTAAGAGCTGGGAAGAAATACCCGAGGACCTGAGGACCCTGCTCACTTCCCATGGATTTAGGAGCCCTTGGGGCTGGGTTAAACTGTTTTTATTTTCAGTATTACCACCCCCGCCCCCCCCCCCCCGCCCCAGACTAGCAAGAGCAGTGGGGAGCCGAACATCATTTATATTTCATTTGAATTCTCAATTTTTAAAGGAATCCAAGAGGCCTGGCATGAACACCTCCCTCTTCCGCTGGGAGGTTAGAAGGGGTTTCTTGGCTCTCCTCAGCCAGAGTTGGGCTGTAAATCAAGACCAAACAGGAACCAGAAGCCTTGCATCTCACAAGGAGTCATTAAGCTATGATTAAACATACCGTAACTTCTCTGGAGCCTTATTGGTTTTAACACCACATTGGAGGCATTATGGCCATTAGGGCCCCAATCACAGAATGCAGAGGGGCCAGAGAGATGGAAGCACCTGGGGCTGGTATTTCTAGTGAAGAGGGAGGCTCGGCTTGAAATTAAGCTTCCCTTCTGGCCTCACTAGAGGGGTCCTTTCTCCAGGATCCAGTGGATCCAGCTCTGGACAACCAATTTGAACTGATCACCTTTGCCCATTAAAAAGGTTTTTCAATAGTTGTTGATTGGATATTGTTTTTTTTCTCTCTTCCCTGTACCTATGAAATTGGATATTGTTGACTTTCTAGGAGAATGTCAATTCAGGATACCTATTCTATTCAACAGTTATCAGTTTACTGTGGAGAATGCAAATATCACCCAGGAAAATGTCACCAGCAATTTAAACCAGGCAGTCTGGATAAAAGGCTGAGTCTTCTGCCTCCTGTGACAACCTTTCTGAGCCTCAGTTTCCTCACCATAAAGGTGGGGCACACACGGAGGTAGGGTATTTGGGAAGCATTCGTGTTTTCACACACTGTGTTAATTTAACAGATGGTGATGATGATGATAATTACCATCTCCAATGGGTTCCCTCACTGAATAGGTGGGCGGCTCCTGACTTCAGACTGAATGGGACTACGGCTGGAGCTGAGCAGAGACGTGGGGACTTGCATCCACTTCCAAGTCCAGAAGTTTCTCTTGACATTCTCCCAGTCTCTGAACAGAGCCAATTTCTATTCTGGGATGGTATGGCCAATTAAACTGAGGAGAGAGAAACCCCTAGATTACATGGTATTTTTGTGGGTAAATGGAGTCGCCCCTCCTGGGAGAGTTTTCTCCCAGAACCATGCAAGTCAGAACACTGGGAGGAGACTTTTCCTTTCCTCTTTTAAACCATTAGTGCAAACTTTTATTTGTATCTGTATGTGGTCTGGAAAGAGTTTGATGGAACAGGTGCATAGAAACTGCAAAAACAGCAGTCTCAGAGTTAATACATTGTCCTTCTTAGGAAGGCTGGGAGATCATGGAGTACCACAAAGGCCCTCATATTATGGATAAAAACAACAGCTGACACTGATATATACCTACAGTGTGCCGGGTGCTAGCTCATGTATTCTACATACATTGGTTTATTAATTTTTGTTTTTTAGATGGAGTCTCACTCTGTTGCCTGACTTGCCCTGACCTCCACAGTACAGTGGCCATAATCTCAGCTCACTGCAACCTCCCAGGTTCAAGCAATTCTCCGGCCTCAGCATCCCCAATAGCTGGGATTACAGGCATGTGCCACCATGCCTGGCTAAGATTGGCTTATTTAATCTTCACAATTCCATGATATAGTTACCCTGTTTTCTAGAGAAACAGCCTGAGGCCAAGAGGGAGCCATTTGTTCAGGTAGACAGAGCCAGTTAGGGGCAAAACCAGATTTTACACTCAGATTTGTGGTTCCCAACTCCACATGACTCTTCAGTCCTTCTTCAGCGAATGAAGCTGAAATCATTCACTGTGCACCCTCATTTTCCCCAGGGGAAGGCTGAGACTCCTTCTGGAACAGAAGGCCAAGGCCAGAGTGGACTGCGGACACTGCACTGCTGCCTTCATGATCAGCAAGTGGCATCCGTTGAGACTTGTGTGCCTAGCTGCAGCAGCTGGCACGGAAGGTGGAGGCATTTTCTGCTAAGCCAAGACCAAATGAAACAGAGTGCTTAACCCTTTAGAGGTTTACGACCAACACAGCCAGATGTGGGGCAGAATTTTAAGAGAATTCGTGAGTTCACCATTCGTGCTGTTTAATAATCAATTGAAACATAAAAGCATTTGTCATTGAAAAATTGTTCACGGAGTAAGAGATGAATGGATGGCAAGATCCAGATAATTCTAGGTCCTGTAATGAAAAAACTGAACAAAACCCCTCTCCATCTGCTGAGAAGAGCTACCTTTTAAATGGAGATGATACTTACTAGCTGTTTTACACTGGCTGAATGTTTAATTCATTCATTTAATAGGAGAGCCTACCATGTGATCCTCATTTACGGGAATCAGGATTCAGTGGCACACACGGCATGTGATCCCTGCCTTCACAGTGCTTCTACTTTGCTAGAATGGAAGTGTTTCATCCACATTGAAGAAAATCATCATTTGGATGTGAATTAGAGTGGAATCTGGTCTTGGGAGAAGAGTTCCTGGCTCGGGGCCTCAACTGTAAGGTCAGCTTTTCATTTAGGGAACATTAGCCCCAGCGCCACTTTCCCTTTAATTCCCTACTTCCCTCAGCCTGCACCACAAGAAGGACCCTGCGGCCTTTCTCTCCCAGTGGATCTCCGGAAGGGATCAGGACAAGGAGAAAGACGTAACCTCAGATCTGAGATTTGTTTGACATACACACAACTTCCTTCCAACAGGAAAAACTCAGTTGCTTTTTTTTTCCTTCAAAGGAAAGACAGTTGGTATTACCTTTGTCCTGTTTAGATATTGAAATCCTAAATTGATTCATATAAATTCTGGGTTTGGGAACCCAAGAAGATTGTTTCTCATTAGTGACATTCTTCCTGGAAGGTCAGGCTGAGGAATGGTAAATAAACCTTCGGATCTGGTGCTTCCTCCTCACTCATGATCCAGAGAGACAGAGAGAGACAGACAGAGAAAGAGAGAGAGAGAGAGAGAGAGAGAGAGAGAGAGAGAGAGAGAGAGAGAGAGAGAGAGAGAGAGAGAGGGAGAAGGAGGGAGGGAGGGAGAGGGAGGGAGGGAGGGAGGGAGGGAAGAAATGAAGCAAGATGAAAAAAAAAAGAAAAGAACTTTGTGTCTGGGACACCCAGAATCCTTGGCTGCGATTCTAACAATGCAGGCTGAAAGTCTGTGCTTTGGAGTAAAATTTCTGGGAAGTTTTTCTCTTACAGGAAAATGTGAAGAGACGAATCTGTACTCCAGCTTTATGGGAATGAATGAATGTGATAGTGATTATACACATTTCTTGAGCCTGAATCCACCAGGGAACCTATCGTTTTCTGCTCATTCTCTCTGCCCAGCTCACTGAGGTTGGATTGTAATGGGGGGGAAGGGCCAGAGAGGCAAGAGGTGTGTCTCTTCTGCGGCTGGCCTGAGTTTGAGCTATTGCCTTTGTGTGAAGGTGAATAGATTCTGTGGCAACTGCTGGCATGGACCATAGAGAAGTCATTTTGTAGAAGATTTTTGTTTGTTTCTTTGTTTTTGAAATGGAGTCTCGCTCTATCACCCAGGTTGGAGTGCAGTGGCACAACCTCAGCTAACTGCAACCTCTGCCTCCTGGGTTCAAGCTATTCTCCTTGAACCCAGGAGGCAGCCTCCCAAGTAGCTGGGATTACAGGCATGAGCCACCACACCCTGCTAATTTTGTATTTTTAGTAGAGACAGCGTTTCACCGTGTTGGCCAGGCTGTTCACGAACTCCTGATCTCAGGTGATTCACCTGCGTCGGCCTCCCGAAGTGCTGGGATTATAGGTATGAGCCACCGTGCCCAGTCTTATAGAGGAGTTTTTCATGAACTAATTCTTGATATAAAGCAGACCTTTCTGTTTTAACAATTGGCAATTTTAACAATTGGCATTCTGTATTGGCAGTTTTAACAATTTGATTAATTAATTTTATACATTCATTTATTCACCAAGCATTTATTGACTGCCTGCCCTGTGCTAGATTGCGGGGTCACACAGTGAGAATGGAGCCTGAGAGAGTACCACTTACTCCTTGCTCCCAGGGCTTCTCTCGGCTAGCAGAAGGAAGACACAGAGCGACAGGC